AACTCACGGTATTTTTTGAAAAAATGTGCTTTTTAACTACCAATTGACTTCATTGCTTTTATTTTATTTTATTATTATGAGCAAAAATGTGATTGTGTTTTTTTACACTCCATTTTGATCATACGGTGAATTTTTTTCACTAATTGTGTTTTTTTACACTCCATTTCAATCACATGATAAGGAAAAAAATTTGTTTGCGTTGTGACAATATCTATGTTTTTACAAGATGGAACGTGATACAGTTACTGCTAAAATCAAATGACTATCTCAGAAAAGAAAATTACTCAATTCATGCCAAGCTAATCATGATGATTCCATATTCAAGGACAAATTGAAACAATTTTAAAAAGAAGCGCATCGATTAAGAGCATGTGTTCTACATGACAAACAATTGCATTATTGAATAAATGTTTGGAATGTCACAAATAAGCTCTGAAGTATTATCATTTTCAAATGTATTGATTTCTTATTAGTTTTTATACTAAATATATTTTTTTGCTGCAATTTAAAACACAGGAATTGTTATGCCTTTCACATCAGAGGGTGTTCACTTCCACCAAAATATTTCAAGAGTCACCACATTAACAAACAATACTAATGTTCTAAATGGTAAGTACCTCAAGTAATAACATTTTCTAATTATGATTTTTTTTTTTATATATATTATAACTTGTAAATACTAATATCTGCTACTTTCATAATGAATGCTAATAGTTATGTTGTTTATATTTTTATGAAAATTATATGATGTAATAGTCATCTCTCCCGTATATGAAGAAGAAGGTAAGAAATATTATTTATATTAATTTTACAATTATGATTTATTTGATAATATTCTTATAACTTCAAAAAAGTAATGATTTTATACTAATTATTTTATTCATGTAAATCCAAGTAAAGGAATTGTTATGTTCCCGATATCTGAGAGTGTTTAGATACATTTGAATATGATTACTTCAAAGAACATTTAATTGAAGGAAAAATATATTGTTTTAGAGGAATTCAAATTACATTGGCCGATGAGAAATTCAAGTTGATGCCATATTATTATAAGATGTCTTTTACTAATGATACAACAATTGTGCACATACTTAATCATGATGATAATATACCACTTCACTGGTATTTCACTAAGAAATTATCAGACATTAGCCAATTTCTTTATCAAGATGTTTAATTAATAGGTAGGTTACTTTTACCAAATGATACTTATCTAGATTACATACTTACATAGTTTATTACCAACACAAAAAATTTAAACTATCAAAACAATAAACATGTTAATGCTAAAATATGCATATGTGATTGGCTTAGTTGTTAGTGTAATTGAATGTCAAGGTATTACAAATCGTGATAATTACAAGCGAGATTTTACTACTTGATACAAGGTATGATATCATAACATATTTCTATGTCTTTACTAAATTTGAAATACTCTACAAATTATATTATTTTTCCTAATCTCAACTTCTTCTTTTTTTTTAATTGTAAAAACAGTTTCACATTAGTAAGACTAACTCTATGGGATGTGTTTGCAACAACTGATGACATGTAACTATATCATACTCTAGAGAACGATAATATTTTGTTTGTCACTGGATTAACAGTTAAAGATTATCATAGTAAAATTACTTTTTATTTACTTTTATAATATCTATATGCATATACAAATATTGATATTAATAAATTATCTTTAACTTCTAGGTCCATGTCTCACTACATGCAAATACAACAAATTATATACTAATCATTCATTCCGCTATACAAATTATATTCGAGTGTGGTATGTTATGATTGCATAATATTAACAAATTATATATGGCAATATAATTCTCATAATTATATATATTGACATGTTTATCTAGACTTGTTATGAATCCTATATCACAAAAGTTGATATCTTGGAATCAAAAAAATAGATTCTTAATTTCACAGTCATTGGTAATATCAAATGACAAAAGAATTCGAATACATGATTTTGCACCTATGCCAAAGGTAAGAATTATTATCATGTCAAGTAATGAAAGTTAAACAATTAAACAATATATATATATATATATATATATATATATTCATTTATAAGTTATTTTTTCTCCATTTTCTTTTCATTTTTAAAATTTTTACTTATTTTTCTTTTCAAAATCCTACTCATGCATAATCTAAATACAGTCTTAAAAAACCATAAAAATGATTGCTCTCATTCTTTCCCATGCCTTCCTTCATTTGCAAGTAGATCACATTTGTTGTGCATTGTTTTGTGCAGTTTTTGAAATATTAGATTCAGCCATCAATGCTAAAAGTTTGTGCTTGACCTTGCCTAAGCACAATCCAAAGTGGATTTGTATATTTTGTTCTTCTCTTTATGCTTTCTTAGGCCTCGTTTGAGAAGTGGCTATTTTAGTAGGCTATTTTAATTTTTGACTATTTTAGTAGGTTAAAATTTTTGTGTTTGGGAAGATAATTGGATTTTTTTGTGGTTGGATGTGATGTTTGTGAGAGAAAAAGTGAAATGATTATAGATTTGATGTGATATTTTGTCTTATTAGCTATTTTAACCTATTTTGTCTTTTTGTAAATTTAGCCTAAATTGGGCTATTTTTTTCTTCCCAAACACCCCCTTAATACTATAAAGGTTGGTTTAAAAACTCAAAATTTTAATCAAAAAGTAAAAAAATCTTACAAAAAAATTCAAAGACTATTTTCCTTCTTTCACCTTTTTCATTAAAAAAAATCATTTCCAAACACTTCAAAAAATTTCACCTCATATTTTTGTAAAAAAAACTCACTTCTCAAACCAATCCTAAATCTCTGCCCGATATTTGAACTTCCTCTCATAATTTGACAAGTAGTTAAGTCGGAGGTAAATAATTTTTAAACCAATCAATAATTAATATGAGATGATACATATCATTAAACCAATCAAGATTTTTTTTTTCTTTTAAAATTTATTTGTTGAGTTATTTGGACACACGGTTTGTGGATTTTACAAGACTAGCCTTGTACTAAGGATGCAATTGGAAAATTACCAAATGCAAATCATTAGGCGGAATTAACGGAAATACATGAAGACTTGAGTGCCTGTCTCTGTCTCCTTTTTGGCTATTCGACTCACTGTTTCCGCATGCCATGGATGATTGATTCCTGCTACGTGGCCAAAACGGTAATGATACATTTAATTAAAAGTTATGTTTTAAACATCACTAATGAATTGACAAACACTTTAAATAAAAAAAAAATAAGACACAAGCAGTGGGTCCTGTCCACTGCTACATCACTAAAGGTGCTTTTAGAACACCACTTTTAGTGGTCTCAAGCATTATTGATGGCCAAAAATGAAAAGCTTAGAAACAATACTATTAAAAATTTTACTAAAATAATGTATTATTAAATTACCTAGTTTTAACTTATACTTTCAAATGTTTGTATTTATAAATTATTTAAAAGTTTCTACTCAATTAGATCTCATCAACTCGCCTTTCTTAATTTTCATTCTCTTCGGTAATTAATCATAAAATCAGATATAAGAAACAATACATAAATTATATACTCTCTCTTTTAAGATGTGTTTGGTTTCACGAATTTAGAGAGAAATCTAAAAATGAAAAAAATATATAAAACGCAAATAAAATATAGGCCCTGTTTGGTAGAGCTGTGGGAAAGTGCTTATAGCTTATGCCTCAACAGCTTATAACTTATAACTTTCAGCTTAAGCTGATTTCCAGCTTATTCTTAAAGCATCTCCTGCCCCACTTAAAGAATAAGCTGATTTCTGACTTCCAAAAAGCTATAAGCTATAAGCTATAAGCTAAATTAAACACATCAAAATAACTTAAATTAAGCTGAAAGCTGAAATAAGCTGTAATTAAGCTCTGCCAAACAGGCACATAATCACATTTCACACACTTTTTTTTATTTTTCTTTCTAAATCTCTTTTCAAATCCATGAACCAACCATTAATAAATCAACATAAATTAGCAAACTTTTCTAAACACCAGAGCTAGTTGACGTTCTTTCAGTTATCAAAATGGTTCTGTTGATAACAATTGTGGGCCCAAAATGCAACCATAAAAAACGGGTAAGAGGAAATGATGGATGATTGCCTACTTGTGGGCCCAAAACCAATCCATGCACTCTACCCCCCAATCCATCCACCATGGGATACAATAAAGCATGTGCTGTCTATCTAACAACCACTGTTGCCTCGCTCACGTCACATGAATAATAATAATTAAACTATACATATTAAGAAATTTTAACAAATTATACATTATATATAAAAAAAAGTGTATTAAAAAATGCATATAATATTATTAAATTTTCTCAATATGTGTGCCTTGAGAGACACGCTAACAAAATTCTAATGAGAAACAGAAATATAATTATACTTTGGACGGTGTTGAGTAGATATGCCTAGGTTTGCGGTTTCGGACCCCTTTCTTGTTTATAATCTAATGTTGTGTTTCTACGTCATACATATACCAACTCACCACATGATATTGCCAGGTATCATTTCCCGCTAATTAAGGTAATAATAGTATCCTGTTCCCACACGGTATGCATTAAAAACAATAAAAAAAAATACTAATAAAAAAGTATCAAAATAAAAGTAAATTGATATTCACTAATAATTAACAAGGCGATGTAATTGGCGCAGAGGGAATCCACTGGCCAGGCCAGCCGTTGCGACGCATGATTGATTAGATTAGATTAGGCCAAAGAAACTTCATGGGACGGAAAGGGAAAATTCTGAACAGAGAATTTGGGGACAGCGGAAAGAACAGTTATTTGTCTAATTCATCAGCCACTGATAATAACTGGCAGAGCAGAGAAACGAGGATGACTTTCTATGATTCGTTTATTATTGATACGAAACAAATGTTAAGCACCCAGAAAACAAAGGACTGACAATGATACAGTGGTCCCTTTCATTTAAGTGTGTTACTATGTTACTAGAAATCCACTTGATTTCAAGATTTGTTAATCCATCCACAATTTACTTGGCCAGTTAAAGCATCACAGCGAAAGATGCTAATTTCAATTGCAGACATTAGCAGCATTTTATACAAAATACGTAGCCCAAGTTTTTTTTTTCCTTAAAAAAAAAAGCAAGCAATCTACATAAATTACACTACAAAAGAAATCAATTTAATTCTTGTTCTGTCATTACAGCACGTGATTTAGATGAGCAAACATAAGCAAACACTAATAAAAAACGGTTCTTCCTCAATCAAGGCAAGGAACCTGTTGGGCTCGTGAAGTTGGCACGCCTGCAATCACAAGTGCACAGGCTTCTTGATTCTTTCACCACACGCTGTGATCTCCGAGTGTGTAGCTTGATGTTCACCAACTTACCAGCTATCTGTTCCCATCAGCAAAACAAAGGGAAATCAGATTTTTTGACAAGCATAACAATAAACTCTTGTTGTTCAGTAAAGAGCATCTGAAAAACAAAAAATAAACAAAAAATCACAGGTGATGGACCACCAGTGTAAGTTGCAGGGCAGTTACTAAGACACCAGTCCTGTAAACAGGAACTAAAATATGCAACTGTATACAGTACTTCTCTAATATAAAATACAATTAGCACTTCTCTAATAAGCTCGGTAATAAAATTTAAAAAAAAAAAACAAATTACCATTATAAGCAATTACCCCATGCACCAGTGTTGTTCATGTAGGGCAAAGGTCTAATGTGGGTCATCACAACCAAACAAGAAATTAGATTCACATAATAGAGGCCACTACACTAGCTGTCATGATCTCACAGGTGCAAGCAACAGCCAGATTTGTAGACTCAGATTTAAATAATACCCCTACCATGCCTTGAAACCTGTTTCCATACCATATTTTCAATGCCAGGTCCCTGATTCATTATTTTGTGGCATGGGTCAAAGATGGCAGATCAGCATGGACAAGAGAACCAGCGTGTTAACCTCACCCGATTTTATCTTTTCCCAGAAAAAAACCGGCGCGTGGAGGGGAATTGGGGTGGCTTCTCTGTTAATTGATTTTAATTGATCACTAATATTTGATAGCATGCAAAGCCTGTTTGTATTAAATATCAAATGTCATTCGGTCTGCCTAATCTTCCTTACAAAGGACAAAGCAAGAGTTCTAGCAAGTTTTACAAAGAAGGCCTTTCCCACAGGTTTGTAACAAAATCATAGAAGTAAAAACTAAAAACCAAAAAAATAAAAATAAATAAAAACTAACATTCAACAAAGAAAAACAGAAGCCCGGTGATGGTCAAAACAGTTCACTTCATCAATATAACTTCTTAAGACATAATAAATGCATAAAACTAAAGTTTAAAGGTAGAATTGAGGAGAGAGAAACAAACCATTCGCCAAACTAAATCTTCCGGACCCAAAGGTTGAGCTGGATGGGAGTATAAGAAATGCCTCGAGTACTGGGGAATAAAAAGAAAATAGTAGTAGAATCAGTCCACTAGTTGCATGCCTTCTAGAAAAGAGACGAATTCAAAAGAACCTAAGAAATTCAAATAAAATAGGTGACCAAAGGAGCACCTGGAAACAACACCTTACCGCCCCCCCCCCAACAAAAAAAAAACAAAAAAAAAAGTGATAATATATATTATATATATTAAAAGAAAAAAAGAAAAAGAAACAACTGTATGCAGTTCTAAGAAATCAAAAATCAGCTGAAACTGTGAAGGTTCTAGCTGCACATTCCCTACCAATTAATTTGACACACAACACTAGCACAAAAGTAAACATTACTTCAACTCTAAAGCCACAAACCTTAACTAGATGCATTCGCATTTCTCTGATTTGTGCATGACTAATACTTTTGAGGAATGTTAAAAGCCAACCCGGCTGCACAGCATCACTGGAGGAAACAAACAGAGCTATCTGCATCACAGAGCAAAAACCAAAACCAATTAAAGCCTGAGCTAATGTCATAAAGTGTAATGCAAAGTTGATTGCTCCAGCCAATTGATGCACACACTAAACACAATTCACCCAGTGAAAAAATAAATAAAAAACAGTTACACCTTCTTGTCCTTAAAGCAACAACTAAAGCAGATTCTGCCAACAACAGAGGAACGATTTTTATTCTTGTCGTTGGCAACATTAGGTTGACCATGCTTAATGCTAATACACATTACAAAAAGCATGGAAAGAACTAAAAACAAGAAACACACCAATTTAAACTAGATGCTCTGCACCCAAAAGAAAATATAAAAAAAAGATTCACCCAGTGATGTAGCACCCAGTAGGGAGAAGGTGAAGAGAGAAGAAGAGGAGAGAATGAAGAGGAAGAAAAAGAAAGAAGGAAGAAGGAAAAATCAATATCTCAACAATCAATACCCAAAATCAAAGTAAGTATGATAAATCCACTACATAAAAGGCCTATTAATAAGCATCTCAGAAAATCCTAGTTAAAGTAACCAAATATAAAAAAACTACAATAATTAAAACATAATAAAACAATAAAACCTAACAAATCAAATCATTAATAAGAAAATAAAATTAATATAAATCCCGAATTTTCCATTTCAAGCATCATCCTATGCCTTCACGTTCTGCATCAACCAGTCCAATAAAAGGTTGCAATCTAGTCTTTTCTGCCATTTTGGCCAAAAGAAACTAGAACACTCCGATTCGCCACAAGATCCTGTTTTTCAGGCCCTTTTAAGTATCTGCAATTTTTATTATGATAGGTTTAACTTCACTTGTGCTGGATAGGTTTCAATCCAACCTGATCAAAACCTCCCAAGAAGCAACCTTCACCAGTTCTACTAGCGGCATGCCAGCAACTGAAATATAAATCTAAGCCACGCAGACTGCAATTCATTACAGTGCAAGAAATCCATAAGCAATGACATTTTCAAAATTCAAAAATGGCATACAATGCAACTACAGAATACCATAGTTTGAGAAATAGAATACTTGTAAAAAAAATAATACAATTGACAATACAGTATCTATTATAATTTATACATTAAACATTTCTTTAATTTACTACAAACTGAAACTGAAACTGAAACTGAAACTAAATTTCTTTTACATTTGCAAAATGATGGCACATTTTATCATCATTCATTTCTTCTTATACTTAGGCCTTGTTTGTCATAACCTAAAAAAACCAAAAAGTCAAAAAGTCATTATTCTATTTAAATCACATCATTTTATTTAAGTCATATCACCTCTACCACATCACTTTAAACCCAACCCATATTTCATAAAAAGTTAAAAAGTGCATTTATTTAGATTATCCCAAACCACCCCTTAATCTTTTAAATCATCATGATCTCAAAAGATGCATCAAAGGAAGAAACTAACAGCAATATCTTCAAGAGGACATGCATACCTTCCGATAATCAAGTATTCCTTCAAAAGGAAGCTCTAGCTCATCACTAATTATAATAGGGATGCAACCACTAACAATAGCATCAAACAATCTAGCAGATGAGGGAGTGTCACCAGCTGGATTTAGGCAAAAGATGGACCTAATCACCAAAAAATGCAACTCAATGACTTCAATAAAGTACAACAGCGAACCTGCAGTCTGAAACAAACTAATTATGCAATTAAAAATTTACTTGCGCATGCCATTCTGAGCTGCTCGTTTCCCTGCTTCCCCAGATGTCCCCTCCTCTATTACTACACCCTCAACACCACTTAGTTCAGCCACAAGTTTAGCACGTATTTTTCCTCCCTGAAAGTAAAACACCATACATAAAAAATGTAGGAAATAAAATGACAAAAATAAGCACAAGCCAATCAGATGTCAGAACTTGGATGACAAGTGATGGAAAGAAGCCAATCTCTTTGGCAAGTAGTAGGTTTCTTCGGCTGTTAATCAAAAAGACAAATCACTGTGTATGATTTCCTGACACTGCTAGCTCTATTGTCGGAAGTACTCAAATAGGACAATCATAATTTGTCCTCTACTTTGTGCTTCAATTTTTCTCATTTCTATACTCCACCATGATGAACCAAAATGATAAATAACAGGATATGAATCTCCTCCTGCTATATTCATGGTTATAAGCACTCAAATTGGAAATTTATTTTGCACTCTGCTTTATGCTTCAATTTTTCGTATTACTCTCTTCCAAAGTGATGAAACAGATCAGCTAGATATTCATAAAATGATCAGGTCAATCTTGTTTTGGCTGCCTGGAAAATATTCCTAAATTACACCTATACTAACTCCAAACACAAAGACAACCTCCAAAGAGGTGGCATGAGACATGACTGAGGCTTTCCAATTTTGGAATGAGGCTGCATGAATCTCTAAAAAATAAAATATGTTTCAACTATAGAAATCAAGTCCTAGTGTCCTACAATCTCGATTTTCTAACAAGGAAGACTCGTAGAAACCCAAACTAAAAGACTTAAGTTCAAACTCAATCAGGCAGTATGGCTAATAGCAATCATCAGTCTATCAACATGCAACCACTATTTTCAATAGATGTTGCAAGGTAACATGTATCTTATCCTTGTCATTCCGCCAAATAAGTGCCATATGTTTGCCCAGTAGAAGAAAAGTTGCCATCTATTTTGCCTACCTTTGTGCTATTCAACATTTTTCACAACACAGAACAAGCACTCTCACTCTCTCATTAGCCATTCATTACTATTGTCTTTGAACATTCCAACACTTACCACATTACATGATCATTCATGCCCTATTCAAATATATAGCTAGTATAATTTTAACTTCACAAAGGTTGACTTCAATAAATCAAAACAAACACAGGGTAATTCATTCACTTCTTAGTCTGAGCCAAAACTCTTACAGCATTTCTTTTAAGCCTCCCTCGGAAAAATAGCAGTGTGCTTCTCTTTGTTTCACTTTCCAATACGCATTTCAGGTCACACAAATCAACATTGGGGACATATGGAAGTATCAGGTCTTTCTCAAGTGAAACTTGCCCAGGCTTGTACCTGAAATTTTTTACTCCAATTAGTCATCAGCAGCCACAACAAATATTGCATATTATACATATCCATTTCAACTTCATTCAGATAATAACCAGTTCCCTGTGGAGTCCATATCTGGTAGCAGCCAAATTGCATTCTTCATATATCTGCGAACAGACTTGAAAGACCAGGGATGGTGAACTGGAAGTATATGGTCTCTTCCTTCAGACCTCTTCCATGCAGGCTGATCTGTCACCCACTTCAAAGCTTCCTATATCACAATAAAAAGAGTACACCAGATCCTTTTAAGAAGCTAAGAAAATTTAATTTTACATCCAACATTACAATTTTATATGACAGTCAAAAAATAACATAACTAAAAAAGTTTCTAGAAAGATATGCCAGATAACTGTTATACCTATCAACATATCCCAACATATAAAAGAATACTAGAAAGAAAAATATACCAATCATCATATCTCAATAAAGTGCAAATATATCTGAAAATGTGAAAAGGATACTGACCCTAAGAAGCACGAACACTTCTAAAAAGGTAACGTATCAGTGTCGAACACCGACACTCGTTGAACACTTCCCAACACGTGTCCGACACCCTTCAAAATGTGTCCTATTTTTTAAAGATCCGGACACTCTTTGGACACTTGGAGGACACACGTGTGTATCTCTTAGACACACGTATCTATTGATTAGACACATGTAAAACTAATTATAAATTTGAACAAAACAACTTAAGATACAATAATAAAACAAAAATCATATAAATTTATAGGGATTAGTGTCATATTGCATTTTTTATTATCTTTGAATCAGATATTCATATATATAACATATAATAAATATATAAAATTATATATTTCATGCGTGTCCCCTACGTGTCGTACCCTATATTTTTTAAAAATTAGTGTGTCAGTGAGTCCGTGTCGTGTCACGTGCCTGTGTCCATGCTTCTTATTACTAACCCATATGTAGAAAGAAAGCAACAATTAACAGAAAATGTAAGACAATGTAATGCCAAATGCTTAAGGAAGATTTGCTGTTCAAAAAAAAAAAAAAAATGATTAAAGAAGATTTATCACCAAAACCAAATTACTAGGAGAATGGTTTTTCAAGTTGAGTTTCATTTAAGTCAACTAAAACATACCAGAGCATAACATTCCTAACTGATTACTAAAACATTGAAGGATCTTTCTAATTCTGCTATAATGCTAGAAAATGAACACATTAATACATAAGAATCTAAATCCTTCAGAAGTTCACTCACACCCTATAAAGTGCCTTGCATTGTTGTTTCTCCAACAAGAAGAAGCTGATGGTCGTGAAAAATGGAATGTAGAACAGGTCTGCCTCTTCCTGCCGATGAACTTTTACGACATTTTTCAAAAGCCTTTGAGATTCTGGTGCAATCAAGTCCGCCCATAACCAATAATCAATAGAATGCTGCAAAATAAAAAAGTTCAAATATTTTCATTTCAGAGGGACACAAAACGAGTAATCACAATGGTCACTCACATAATGGCAAGAAAGCCTACATCCTATAAAGAACAAAAAAGGACGATTTTGGCTATGTTGTGCAAAACGGTTTTAGTTACAAAAAAATAAAAAAAGAGTGAATGACACATAAAATACATTTACAAGTCCATTTCCAAGGATGATTTCTTAAAAACAAATCTATGCAATTGCACACATTGCCAGAGATAAATTTATCTCCCACAACTCCATGCTAAATTACTAACTTAAGGAAGTAGACAGAGAACTTAACAATTCCCAAATCAACATTTTTTGGGATAACATTTTAACAAACTCTCAATGTTCCACAGATTTATTTAATTCATCACTGAATCCACAGTAATTCTTAATGCTAAATGTCCAATCAAACAATCAACAATGAGGGAATTAATCTCAAGCAAATGAACTCAACAAATTTTAAATAATAAGAGCATCTCATTCCTTCATCAAATTCAAATCTGATGAAAAAATGGCTAAAAGTAAGCTCCAACCATTTCATCAAATCAAGGGAGATTCAGATTTTTTCACATAATCAAGGTTGAACCAAATCCTCACCAAATTCCCAAGTCATATTTTTTCCTCAAATTTGATGAAATTTTGAAAAGAGTAATGATCTTATTCCATTAAAAATGGTTAAATCAGGTTTTCAGGATAAATTTGGCATTTTAAAAATAGATTAGACGGAAAAAAAAAAGAAAAGAAAAGAAAAGAAAAGAAAAGAAAAGAAAAAGAGTTAGGGTTGGCGTTGTCTATAAGCTTTTAACCAAATTTTCACTCCAATTTGATGAAGAAGTGCAACGATTGAAGATGCTATAATAGTCATCACAATAAATAATTTTTTTTTAAAAAAAACCATAATAGTTTATATACCTGTTCAATCAAACGGTGCACGGGGCTACCATTAGAGGTGAGATTGGAGGTCTGTTTGTATGAATTATGAAACAACCAAAGCAGATCGTATGTGAATTTAGGGGGCATTTCGTAAACGTAAACTCGAAGAGGCGATGATGAATCTGAGAGCGACAATGCAGGAAAGAATGAATCTCCATAGAGCCTTTGAGTCTCGGTCTTCCATATCAAATCATCCAACTTCTTCACAGCTTCCTCAGTGGCAGAAGCCACAGTATCATCATCCCAAGTTTTGAAATTGGAGGTGGAACTGAGGAACTTCTCCAGGGAGGCGACAAAGGAATAGTCGACCTTGATGTTAGGGTTTTGGGAGGTTTGGATTGGGAGGGAATGAGAAGGAGAAGAGAAAAACGAGAAAATGCAAAAGAGGAGAGAGACAAGTACGAGACAGAAAACAAAGATGACGAGTGGAGGTCTGGACCGGAAGTTTCCAGAAGAGGAGTAGTAATGTTTTCCGGCCATTTGCAGACAGAGAGAGAGCAGTGCAAAAGGAAATGGCGGGGTAGTCCGTGTTTCATCAGTCGGGACTTTTGAGTGACATTTCTCTTTATTTACCTGTTAAATAATGGGGAAATTAGTGTATGTACGTACTATCAAAATAAAATTACTCACCTATTGTGAAAAGTTAGTTGAAAATTAATTAATTAATTTTTTAAATATGTAAAATGTAGAAGGGTGATGTAATTTTAAAAAAAATTAAAAAGTTAATAAATTGACTTTTAGGCCATGTTTGGTAACTATATGTTTTAGTCAAAAAAATCACTATAAGTTATCATATCATTCTTTCTATTTTTTTATATATCTTTTTATAAAAAATTAAAAAATTACTAAAATAACTTATTACTAAACGTGGCCTTAATCTACATGCCAAAAGAAGCCTAAAGATTCATTGAAAAAATTTGTAATTTTGTAATTATTAATGTATATAAAATTTACTATTTATTTGTAATTTTTTTTTAAAAAAATATACACTACATTTTTCTCTTATTATGATAATTTATTTTTCCTTGATTATGGGGTTATTGGGTTTGAGCTTAGTGGGTTTGGTATATTGATTTTTCTATTTATGACTAATGTCCAGTCAACTTACATATATCTTGACTAATTCCTAAACTCAGGTAAAGCATCCCTTCACATAAATTGAATAAATGTCTAGAGTTGAACCTAGGACTTGAAAAGAGTTCACCCCCAAACTCCAAATTACACATATTAGGCCAATCCCTTAAAATTCTGTTTGAAAATATAAATATTTATCATATTTATAATTAACCTACTATCAATTAAAAAAATATAACTTGATTGATTTGCTAAAGTCATATTATGTATAATTTTTATTTTTTAGCAAATTAAATTTTTTAAATGATTATTTCATTAAACCGGGACATAAAAGATAACTGGCTCAAGTTTTACTATTTTGAAACTTTCAAGATAGTTTATCCAAATTTTATTTCAAGATAATTGATCTAAATTTTATTTTTTTGTTGTCAAACTTCTATTTGCCCGCAATACTCTCTTAATACATACTTTTTTTTTCTTTTCTTTTTTTAAAATTATAATAATTTTATCCCTCGAGTAAATTATCATTTTGAAAAATGACACACCCCTTCTTCTATACATACCCTAGCCATCGCAGCCTCACTAGCCCCCTATCACACTGATCCCTCCTCTGCCCATTTCCCCTCCACAACCCCACCACCCTTCCCGCCTCCTCAAAACCACCACAGCCCCTTCCCTCCATCCCCTGTGAACCACCCCACTTCTTCCTTCTCTTATACTAGTATGTCATTGCTAGCATGTGAATTTTGCACGGCTTGCAAAAATCAGGAAAACAAGAAATGTCTCCTCATCTCTTTTGGTAAACTAGAAAACACAAAAGCAAAAACAAAAACAAATCACCCCCATACCACTTACAAAAAGAGTTCTCACACTTCACAGACATTCCTAAACCATCATATTAAAAATACAGACCAATGCTGCATAAAGTTCATAATATTCATTTCTGTATATAGATAGCTTCTCAAGCCAATTATCTAAAGCCAAATCCAGACACAAATTACTTACATAATGTGCACAATCAACAATAGAAGTCAAAACCCGAAGCCGTATGAAAGAGAGAAAAGAATCACCCCAGTCCTGTTTGTTTATGATGGTTTATAGGAGCATCAAACTAAAATGTCTCCCAACACCTAAAACTCCCAAATTAAAACCATCCAAATTATCAGTCAGACCCAAATGATCAAACAGAAGGGAAAAAAGAAAAAAAAAAAGAAAAAAAAAAGAAGAAGATGAAGAGCTTAAAACGATATCAGATCATCTTTAGGCGGTTGCTGCTTCTTTGCATCCTGCCCCCCCGCTTCAGATGCACTGCCAGTTTTTTTGCCAAAAATCATCTCATCGAGGTCATCCATCATGTCATCATTGTTCCCTCCCTGAGCACCACCAGCTCGAGAGCTTGCTGGTTTTCTGATCAAAGCATCTTCTTTCCCAACACGAGGTGAATCATCAGGCTCAACTGCTACCGGAATCATAGCAGGTTCTGGCTCCTGTGGAACTATGGAAGGTTTCTTCAAATCTTCATACTTGGTGAGGACTTGTTGGATTTCATCGTTGACATTCAAGGCTTCAAAAAGCAGGGCCTCGTTGTCCCCAGCAGTCTCAATGATTCTCTGGACAGTATATTGGGACTGACGACACTGATGTACCAGTGTGGTTGCCAAGTCATCCTGCCAACAAAATTCAGCAGCGATCAAAATGAGAGAAAAAGATTGAATTATAGGCACTAAAATCTCACCAGCAGTATGGGAACATGCACCAAACCTCCCTCCCACAATTTGGCTGGACAAGCAAAAGAAATTTCGCAACTACTACATATAAACATCCTTGAAAATGTCAAAGATCCATTAAAGATCCTTGAAAATGTTAAAGATCCATTTGGATGGATGTGGATTTTAAATGCATGTTACAAATTTGATAGTTTGCCTATAATTTCAAGATTAAATTAATAGCTTTATCATAATGAGTTTGAAATAATTATATGAGAGTAGTTATTTGACATCATGCATAGGATTCTCTTCTAGCTATAAAAATCCTACTAAAATACATCTTTTCCATTTCAATTTATCCTCTTCTATAGTTTTTCTATCCACTATAATAGCTCTCTCCCCAATATTTTTAACCTAAAATTCATTGATTTGAAATTCACACCCATCCAAAAGGACCCTAACTTTATCCTGAAAAACAGTACTAGAAATGAGCAGCGGCACAGCTAGGTTTGCAAATGAACCGAGCCGAGCCGAGCTTTGTTGAGCTCGAGCTCGGCTCGTTTACTTATCGAGCTCGTTTATTGAGCTCGATCTCGGCTCGATAAGGAACTGGGCTCGAGCTCGGCTCTGCTCGTTAATTTTAATGAAACTCGAGCTCAGCTCGGCTTGGTTCGATAATTTTTTTCAATATTATTTAAATATAAATATTTAAATAAAAAATATTATTTATATTATTTAATATATAAAAAATGTATTTATATATTATTATATAAATAATATATTTATTATATAATTTAAATAAAGATAAACGAGCTCGAGCTCATGTGAGCTCGAGCTCGAGCTCGTTACTAAACGAGCCGAGCCGAGCCGAGCCGAGCCGAGCTTGTTCATGAACAGCTCGGTTCATTTGCAGCCCTAGGCACAGCATAAAAAAAAACAATTATCCCAGCCCAGGTGGCTGTCTCCACAGTTTCCAGAATCCTTTCCGTTATTTATTCCAAATTTATGAGGATGTGGAAGCTGCCATCTCATGTGCACAATTAGGCCCTCCCAAAAGAATCGCAGTATCTCAGGGCTTGCATCTAAGAAACCATTCAAATAAATCTAGACTGACTAGCATTAATCCAAATAAATCTAAACTGACAAGAGAACTTTACAAGCAGATCCATGTCACAAATCTATTCAACAGTTTAACAACAAAATATCATAAATAATCCTAAAATATTGCCCCTGAAACCACTCCCATAAGCAGTAGACAAATTGCTCTCTGCTAGCTTAGTTGGCTAGCTCTTTGGCCATCTAAGTCTCTCTTAAGGGAGAGATCTTGGGTTCCATTCTTAGGAGCAGAATGGGAGGGCAAGATTTTCTTGCATGGTGTACGGGTGAGAGTTTCAACTCTCCCAAGGTGCTAACTTAACAACTACCCACTGACTTTTACCAATCAAAAAAAAAAAAAAAAAGGACAAATCGCTTGCATTTTCCAACTTATTCAACTGTTGGGATGTTTTACTACACCTTCATTCAAAATCTCAATAACACACAGCTCAGCAGGTCAACCACTCCCACACTTCAATAATTTGAAGAAAATGCTGTGTTTCGCAAAACCAGGTTCATCATGACACTTGTTACGATAATGACCTCCTCAGTGAATCAGTAGCCACTACAACTCAATTTCAGAAATCATAATGAAACAAAAATCCCACCTCTAAACAAGTTCTTGTTTAGCTAATGTGAAAATATGACAATCCTGAATATAGCAAATGATCTAAAGCCAACACTTTATTAGATATTGGTGCATTACTTCTGTTTTACTGCAACAAACTTCCTACTCAATCCACATCAAATTTTTTAATAATGTACCCAAGTTTTGCCAAAGAGCTACAAATCGATGACAACTCAATACACAAAGCCATTATAAAATTCATTGCACTAATGACTAATCTATTATGCAAGAAGACAACCAAATAATTTTCATTATGAAACATTATAGCGGCAATCCCTATAGTTTACTCCTAATCAGTTTAGTCCCCCTTTTTTTTTTTTTCAATAATTGGCAACACAAAGGAGTATTATTAATAAGAAGAAAAAGGATTACAAGAAAATGGAAGACAAGAAGCCCATCAACAACCAAAAAAGGTAAAAAAGAAAAATTTCTCAAGGTTAGAAGCGGTTAAACACACGCCGCTCTCCAATCCCTGGAAATATTTAAAAAAATGGAATCGACTTGAAGGGATTAGAAACTGAAGCCCCACCAAAAAACAAATAACACACTCTATCCCATAAGGAATCAATGGCCACAACTTTGTCTTTAAAAATCTTGGCATTTCACTCCAACCAAATAACCCAAAAAAGTGAAAAGAAGACATTGTTCCACAAAGTCTTCACCTTCTTGTTGATACCAAAAACTCTTAAGTCGATCAAGAGCAGTTGAGAGCAAGAGGGCTAGAGCCACCCAACACATCCACCAATTGGAAAGGTCGGCGTCTAAGAAGCACGGACACGGACACGGACACGGACACGGACACGGACATGTGACATGTGACATGACATGGACACGCAAATTTTCAAAAAATATAAGACACGACACGTTGGGGACACATGCAAAACATATAATCTTATATATTTATTATGTGTCATGTTTTAAATATTTAATATTTATTTTATGTCAAATATTTAATTTTATCAAATTTACTAACCTTAGATATTTATTATTTAATTTCAAAATTTTGTTAGGTTGAAAATTTTTGGAAAAAAAAATCCAAAACCACTTCTCTCTCTACTACACATCAATCAATCATCTTTTCTCTCTTTACTCTCCTTCTCTCACTTCCTACACATTAATTCAACTACAAAATAAATAAATAAATCATCCAAAACTCTAAAACTATTTTCAAAACATACAACCAAACAAATTTTGTAAACTCTTTCCAAAAAATTATTTTTCAAAATTGTTTCACAAATACAAACTAAACATGGCCATAATGTGCTAAATTAAAGTGCAAATTTGCTACAATTGAAATTGTAGGGACTAATTGACACAAGGTAAAATACAGAGACTACTGGTGTAATTTGCCCTTAGACATTATACAGTAGGCCATAATATGTATTTTTCAAGACATATTACCTCATTTTTCAGCGACAAATAAGCTAAAGCAAAATATAATTGTGGAAAAAATATCGAAAGATAATTAAAAATTAAAAACAAGTAACTGAAAACAATCATAATTACTAATTGCAACAGCAACAGCAAAAGAAAAATAAAATTATTAAATCATTTGATACTAACGAGCCACAAGTTTAAAAACCAGTCATTAGATAGTAGACTAGCCATTAATTGCATATATTGGGGAGTCTACAAATGAATCATAAAACACAAGTAAAAGGCAACTCAGTGTCAGCAATATACACCAACTGACAAATTCTTCCAACTCTGTTCTCATCTAAAGTTATATAACACACCCAAAGAGACAAATATTTTTTTCCACAGTTTTCCAAAGATGTGATAACATAATGTTGTTGGATGTCTCATAATATGATTTCAATTATCTCTTGTATCCGGTTGAATAATAACAAAAACTAGACAAATCACAAGAAATGGGTGATTGTATGAAACAATTAGACTCTGCATGATTATTCAACAAATCAGGAAAAAAGAAGAAGAAGAAGAAGAAGAAGAAGAAGAAGAAGAAGATGGAACAGCATTATTCTCTTGCTTAAGTAGTTTTCACCAAATAAATGAGAAAGAAAGAAATGTCCTATAATACCAAGCATGAATAAAAAAACATGCATGCGAACTGATGACAGAGACCATACACACCTGAATAAAATAGATAATTAGAAAGAACAATACCCAAAGCAGAAGAATGCACTTGATATTAAATAAGGAAGATGCATTCAGACGTGCAATTCGCATGACATCAAGGAAAAAGAAGATGTATTATATATCTACTCAGAACAGCACCCATTGAACACCAAGCCCTGAGCATCGAACTTGACTGGTCAACATGTTCCTGACTCACATCATGAATTGAATGAATTGTCAACAATCTATGCATTCCAATTTCTTCCACTAGACTACAGATAAAACAAGAACAAGCCATGAAAACATCATCAAACACCAAGACCTGTGAATTAGACTTGATGGTTGGGCCAGGTACCAAACCAGCATCGTCAATTTAACTCAACTTGTCAAAACTAAGCCTACCACACATAATCTAGACCCTTTGACAGATTTGATAGTTGCAAGATACGTCAACAATGTGGATTATATTTTAAGCATCTTTTATCCACGGATGATGTGAATTTATTGAGATATGGACCTATATAGCAAACCACTTACGTACATGTGCTAGTGACTTGGTCTGCATGGTTTCAACCCTCAACAATCACTCGGTCTAACTATAATGGGATATAAAAATAAACTCCCTCCGGAGAGGGGAAAAAAAGAAAAAGAAATAAAAAAGACACAGCAATGGGGTGGGGCTTTCACCCAATATTCTTTTCTAGGTAAGAGTGACAAATAGAATGTGGAAGTCGAAGAATTTCAATTAATTGGTATGTAAGACAATTGAAGGCACAAAGTGTGGAAAACAAATTTCAACCATAAGAAATGCAAAGTTATTTAATGGCAAAGAAACTACAGATTGCAAAACAGTAAAACCTTGAGCTTCATGATTCAAAAACAACAAAAGAGCAATTCAATGAAGTACTACTACTACTACTTTTTTTCCCCTGATAGATTATATACAATATCTAAAAACATACCTCATTTTTAATACCTTGAACAACTGATTTCCCAAATATTTACCATTTCTAAAATTCTGAAACAATTGTAATAAGGATGCTGACTTGGAAACCCCTCAACATACCTCTATTATTGCCTCAAAATGAGACAGCTGTTACCCTTTTTTTCAATAGCTAGTTCCAACTTCCAAGACAATATTATAATTATCTACAACGCATAATAACTTTACATCTCACTAACTCGTTTAAGAGGGAGTCATAGTTACTGAAATAGCAGCATTACCAAAATAACAATCCTATTTTAACTGATAAAAATAAAATTAATATGAAAAACCTCAACAATTTGTTTAAAAATTTAGTAAATGATCCGAAGATATTAACCTAACTGAAACCTACACAGTTACTAAGCCAATTTCATACTTCTAGTTACAAATATGTTCAAACAGCAAGCATCCTGTTAGCGTTTTTGGATGAGAATGACTATAAAGGAGCACTACAAAAGGAGTTTATATATATATATATATAATAAAAAAAAGGGTAGTTCATAAACACAGTAATACTAACAAATATGACACCGCAAATGATGAACAATATATTTTTGCAAATGTGGCCAAACAATAAAAGTAGCAATGATTACTGAATGAAGTCAATTGACTAGCGTGAATTACTCCATTTTTGAAGAAAATGCGAAGGCCAATATACCATGTGCAATGATGATGGCCAACAATTCAAATCGTACAACTTAAGATATTAGGCTGGCTGAAGAACCAAGATTATTGGATCAATTAAAATCTTCCAATGTTAGATTGGTAAAGAAAGACAGAGAGAAGGACAACATCATGCACAATTAACTAAACTTGACCAGGTTAATAAGGGAATTCAATACTGTTAGAAACGAAAACAACCTAACAGGTGTTTTATATTATGAACCCTACATGCAACCCACCATTCATAGATTCTAAAAGACCATGTTGGACATCAACTAAAATCAGGACATCCGCATATAAACTACAAGTGCAAGAAAATGAATTTACCTCTAAAGCATCTTGTTGGGGTGAAGAGGACAAAACTGTTGTAAGAAGCTCAATACTATTTCGAGCCACATCAAATGCTTCCTTTGTTTGTTCTGCTGAAAAGGTTTGAGCAGGAATCTCATGATGAATTTGTTGAGCAAGACTAGCATTGGTTTCTGCAGCCGAGACTGAACGAGGGGGAGTAAAAATAGGAGCCAAACTCTCATTATCACGGCCAGGGAACCGTATGCCCCTTGATCTCAAACTCTAGCAAATACATAAACAAGTTACAAGTAACAAAGTCAAGAGTAGATAATTTTAAGGCATATGAACTCATTTCATTTTAAAACATGTAAAACTACATTGTAACCCAATCACTGGTCCAAATAAACATCAAAAGTCATTCTTTCTTCTCTCAAATAATTTCTTACAATCCTTTTACTGTGATTAACTTTACAGCATGTAAACTCAATTCATTTCTACTTATTCAATCAAATCAGCATTTTTTTGCAAGTAGAAAGTGATCAGAAATGATAATTGATGCCAAGTAGTGAAAACGGAACAATTGACTTTTAAAATTTAGTGAAATAATAGGGATACCTTGTATGTCTCTTCATAAACAGGCAAATACCGGAGCTCATTAGATGACTCCCCCCAAGCTTCAATCAATATCAGAGCCTTGTTCCGGTTGTTAACAACAGTCTGAGGATCATCAATCAACTTCACCATCTCATCAAGCACCCTCTCAGCAGCAACCTCCGAGAATGCCTTCTCGCAATTCTTAACAACCGTTTCAAGCAACGACAGAGCCAAAAACTGAACCCTGGGACTCTTCAACATGATCCGCTTCTTTATTCCACGGATCAATTCGACGCTGTTGATCTTGTCATGATTGATCATATCACAAAGTTCAAGATTAGTGGCCCAATCAGGCTCGTCCAGTGTTTCAGCCGTAGCTTCCTCAACAATCTTATCAACCTGATTTGGACCTTGAAACAACTCCTTCATCTTGAAACTCATTGAGCTCATGCCAGCACTCATCTTTCGACCAACCTCTGCTCCACCAATCTTCAAACGCTCGCTGAAAGAGCTAAATTTGTCCATAAAATTGTCACTCATCTTTGAAACCCTAGTTTATATTTCACTCCCACACAATCAGTCAAAAGTCTTTTAATTTCCAAAGCCCTAGCAACAAGATCTTCAACTGAAAAAGAATCAATCAAAAGAGAAACCCTAATTAGGCAAAAATCCAACCATTGATCACAAAATCTCTACTAATACTCAAACATTAAGCCTTGAAATTAAACTGTTCGATAATACAGATAAACTAATAACTCTTTTAATTCAGTAGAACAGAGAGAAAAAAAATAAAAAAAAATAAAATTAAAACAGCACACACATGTTACATACAAAGATAAAAAATAAAAAATAATAATCAGAAGAAACGAACGATCAGATCAAAGAAATCTTACGATTTGGTAGTTAAATTTATTAAAAATTGGACGATCGAAAAGAGTTGGGAGGAGAGGAGGGGTACCTTGGAAAAGAAGGTGACTTTGGAGTGGTTGGTTAAAACCGCGTTTTGGAGAAGAAGACGACGCAGGACTCACCACAGGAACCTTCTGATGTTGGTCAGCGTTGCGGTCTCTATAATTAATTAGGTTGGTAAATTACATTGACACCCTTAGGTTGGTTCGATTACACAGTATCTTCACATCCTGAAAATTACATTTTCTCCCTACAATTTAGATTTGCATTTCAATTTCCCCCTCCATCGAGTCAACCGTGAAATTAACTAATAAAAGATAATGAGATAATCTCTTTTAATTTGTTTACGTTGGACAGCCTTGTACATTGGGATCATCATCAACTGTCCCACGGGCTTCAAAACTCGGATTTGCCTGATTTTACCTCACTGGAGCTTGTTCGGATGTGTTATATTTTTTCATAAAAAATTAAAAAAATTCAAAACTCGGATTTGCCTGATTTTACCTCACTGGAGCTTGTTCGGATGTGTTATATTTTTTCATAAAAAATTAAAAAAATAAATTTATTTAGATTATTTTAAATAATTCCTCGTAACTCTAGTATGTGTCGTAATTTTTTATAAAGGTAATAATAAATCAGTGTATATTTTGAAAAAAAAAATTAATTAATGATAAATTTTATAAATTTTAATTATTAAAAACATAAACTTTTCTATGTGTATGTAATTATTTTTTGAAAATACAATTGAATTGTAATTTTTTTTATTATTTTATAAGCTCGATCAATATTTTTGAAAGTATATATATGTGCATTGGTTAGAGTGGTACAGTTTTAAAAAAAAAAAAAATAATCTTAACTAGCCTGCATGGATGGTTTGTATATTTTTGTCATTCGTCACCAAACTGTGGCTTCATAAAATTTATAGATCAATTGAATATTATATGTGATTTTGACTTGTCGGTTTGGCGGATAGATGAAAAATATGCTAAGACAAAATCATACTAGAAATTTGATTATCATTTGCAAGGGTACATGCAACCAACAAGACAAAATTCAATACAAAATAGGTACTGAACAACTGCAATTTCAAATATTTCACCAAATATATATAGACATCTATAAATATATATCAAAATTTCAAAAATGAGATACACATGCATGAAAAGTAATAAAAAAAAAAATTCTTTTCAATTTTTATTTTTTATTTTTATGAAAAACTGTCAAAGGGGTTGTTGGAGAAATTCGTCTTGAATTGTTCAGTTGGTGATTTTTAGGTCTTCAAAACTTGGCGATGATCTTGTTTATGTAGAACAAAAAATTGATATTTCAAGTCACGCTACTTAGTTGCTTTCTTAAAGTCAATATTTGCCCCCACCAATAGGTGTGTATGGAGTTATAGCAAATTCGTCTCTATGATACAATGAAACTTGATTTAAGGATCAAGTGTACCAATGTTTGCACTGACGATAGTAGATCATAATACTCTTGATATAATCAAGAAAATCATGACACTGATAATCAAGTTTACAGAATTTGATTACCAGTAAGAAAAAGCATAAACTTGTTTGAGAAACTCTTGATCGAAAATTTTAAATCAAGAAGGAGAGAGAGAGAGAATTGTAGGAATGCTTTTCGGAATTTGGATGAATGAAATGATTGATTTCACAGCCTATTTTATAGGCCTTGATGCATCTGATTGAATAGTCATGTCCCTTGATCACATTCGATTAGATCTAACTGTTGGGTCAACAATCTATGGTGCGGATCAATCTCACACCAAATAGATGCCTTGACTGATCATGATTGAGTGCCATCTCAATTGTATGATTACGCGCATCTCCAATCAACAGCTATGATTAGACCTCTTCAAATTGGACACACAACCATTTGATCGATTAGTTGACTCATCACCAACGGACGCCACATCATTGCCACACGGAGGTAAACTATATTTCACGTCATCGCTCCAACATGTCCGATGCAAATAGAAAAGCGCCTTGCGCCAATGCGTTCATGCTAAGTACACCATCAAATGCCATGCACGCGCATGTGTGAATACCATCCTTGCGGTGTGAGTGCATGCAGACCAGCATTCATTCCACAATTTCATATTCAAAGGAATATTTCATGTAAGACTTTATTACGTGCTCCATATTTTTCTTTCTTTCCAATGTGGACAAAGTCCACAAGCTTGTTTCAAGCTTTCCACAGAAAAATAAGGAAGGTTTTAAAAGCACCCAAGACCTAAACTATTAATTTTGAAAATCATTTTGAAAATTCCCCAACATAGTAATAGTGTGAGAATGAGAAGTTATGGCATGTGAAGAAGGGGGACCAAGCGATGACCGTAGTGGAGTGGGGACTGAAGAGGGGTGTACCGCAGACCTATGATATAGTGAAAGAGATAAATAATGAATAATTAAGTGCAGAACAATGACTATAATGTGTGCAAACATTGGCTAAGCTACAATATCAATAGTGGTGTTAAGTGTCAACATTCAATCTTAAATTTCTTCTTAAGTAAATATAAAAATTTATCCAAAATGTTTGGGATTTTACAAATTGAAGCCAGTGAAATTATAACATATCTAATTCTTGACTACTATTTCATATAATTTGAATCCAAATTTGAATAAAAAACTTAATTTGATACGAACTATTTCAACTTTTTCATCAAATTTTGTGATAACCACTTCCTTGATTAATTAAGCTAATTATGTGATTAATGTTGATCATGTGATCATGTGTTAATTATGGTGTCACGTGTTATATGCATTGTATTGTTATTGTATTATTGTTGTGAATAGATATGAAGAGGTGGAAATTGAACCTGTCTGAATCAGTAATTTTTAATAGGGCTGAGCAAAGAATCCGTAAAATCTGCAATTCGATCCAATCTGATAGGTTTGGATTGGTTTTTTTGAATTCGTGGTTTAGTTCTGAATTGAAAAATTAAAAATCTGTAATCCACGGATCGGTTCCGGATTAAACCTCGCAGTTCTAGATTGGAATCGATCCGGACCGTATACAAATAGCCTATATTCATATTATACACTCTTCTTAGAAAGAAGTGCCAAACATGGACTGCTTTGCCAGATACAGAGTCGCCACCTAAATATTTTATTTTGGGGGAATTTAGGAAACCCTGACTTGTGTGTCCGTCATCACCAAAGTTTCCTCAGCTCGGGAACTTGGGTACGAGAGGGGAAGGTCATGCAATGAGCACCCCCGCTCACCCGATCAAAGATCGGCCACTACTAAACATGATATCTTGTTTTTGAAAACACATGCATTCTTATTCCGGTTTATTTGCCTAGAATTACAATGTGATGCGCACAGCATACAAGTATAGACTGGATCGCCTAATTTGGAACAAAACATCTCATGTTTGTTTTTTGAAAGCGGTTTGCTACTCGCAAGTAGGCTACAATGCGGATTTTGCCACCCTCAAGTGGGCTTTAGAAAACATGGTGATTTGCCAGTCTCAAGGGGGCTTAAAACTCGCAATCAATGAATTGTTCCAATTCAAGTAATCCAACCTTCACCCACAGGCATTCAGGCAGTTATATCATTTTAGGTTTTATTCTTGGCAATCCCGTTTGACAAAACTCCTTTCAGTTGTATTTGTTTTCGCACCTTTTATTTCAATGAGGCTATGAGTTTATTAGATGTGAATCCAACCCAAATCGTGCCTTTGTCAATTTCCATGGATCAAAACCGAGGTTGTAACAGGATCTAGTTTTCCAGATTTTCCTATTTTGGTCATCCCGCTCGAGCGGGGAAAGTGACGCTCGAGTGGGGATTGCAAGCTCACAATATCTCTGTTTCGCCGGAAAAAGTACTGAATGATGTGATCCGACACTCGAGCATGGAAACTTCCGCTCGAGCGTGAAGCCTATATGAATCACACAATTTTGAAGCCTCCGCTCGAGCGGGAATTCCCACGCTCGAGCGGACCGCGCGAACACAGATTCTTGGATTTCTATAAGGAATTGGTTTTCTTCCAAAACTATGATTACTTTGGATTTCTATAAGTAGTTGGTTTTTTCCCAAAACTTGGACAAGTTCTCCAGATCTTCTTTTTGGGTTTTAAGGTTTATATCTGGGGATATTTTGCTAGTTTTCTTTGATGTTTTAATTGAGTATTCAACTCATGGTTTCAAGAGTATACATCAAAAGATTATTTGTTTGTTCTACACAAAAGAGAGAGTTGTTCTTCGGTGGATTCTGAAGAATTCGAGCCTGAAACTTTGGTGGATTCTAGAGTGGCTCATCGTCAAGACAATTCCGAGGTGAAAACGGGGTTGGAAGAGACACATAGAGGTTGGTTCAATTCGGGCGTGGATTTGCTAGGTAATTGAGTGTATACTTGTGTAATTCCTTTATATCTTCTTAGTGGATTGTTTTGTGGCTGTTGCCCGTGATTGTTTTATCACAATTGGAGGTGTCCAATTGTGGTTTTTTCACGTAAAATCGTTGTGTCGATTTGTCTTGATTGTGTGATTAGGATTGTTATATATTGCTTAAAATTGATACATAATCACAAATCAACATCTAGGGGATTTCTAGATTTTTCAATTAGTATCAAAGCAGGTCGTTTTATTTTTTTAAAAAATTTTCTTTTAGAATGAGATCTTGTTTGATTTGTGATAATGGATTCAATTCGTGAGGGAAATTCTATGGTTCGACCACTCCTACTTGACGGATCAAATTATTCTTTTTGGAAAGCTCAGATGAGGTCGTTTTTGAAATCTATAGATGAAAAAGTTTGGCAATCTGTCATGAATGGGTGGACCGAACCAACAATTACTGTTGATGGAGTAACTTTCCCCAAACCAATTGAAAAGTGGGACACAATTGATTATCAAAATAGTAGCTGGAATAGTAAAGCTACCAATTCTCTCTTTTGCGCTGTCATACCTGAAGAGTTTAGTCGTATTTGTAATTGTGAAATTGCAAAAGAGGCTTGGGATATCTTACAAACTGTTCATGAGGGCACTCCTTTTGTGAAACGCTCAAAACTTCAAAGGCTCACATCTAGTTTCAAAAACCTTTCAATGAAAGATAGTGAGACCTTTGATGAATTTTATGCGAAGTTAAGTGATATTATAAATTTCAGCTTCAATTTAGGTGAAAAAATACCAGAATCCAAAGTTGTGGAAAAAATTTTGTGATCTTTGCCCGATCGGTTCTAACTAAAAGT